TTCAAATATAGGGAAAAGTATGGCTAATATTAATGATTCTTAATTAACAGCCCCCAAAACCCCAAAACCCCAGGATGCATTGTATCTTAGTTTAATAGAATAGATAGTTTTCATTTAATTTTTTTATGGGAATATTCTGGAATTAGATGAGATATGCAAGGTACGATAACATCACAGTCATGACGTATCTTACTCTTGCCAGAAAAAATCATGAAATAGACTTTCACTAATCGAAGTATGGCAAATTATTCCATCCGAAAGCAGATTGGATAACTGGATCATAAAATCTAGCATTTTGATTGAGTGCATCAATTGATGCGTGATCCTCTTCAGTCATGGTGAAGTCGTAGCATAAGAAATTTTCTCTTAATCTTTCGATCTTTGCAGTCTTTGGAATGATGATATGCCCTCTTTGAAGGTGCCAGTTCAAGATGATTTGACCGATGGGTTTATTGTACTTAGCAGCCAAATCTTAGATCACTTGTTCATTCAATAAATTGAGGGATTTATGCTCCTCTCTCTTGTGAGGCCAGCTGAAAGCTCCGAGAGGTGCATAAGCTGTGCTGTAGATTCCTAGCTTTTCCTTTTGGAAATTAACGAATCCCTTCTAAGTGAGATATGGATGGAGTTCAATTTGGTTGGTGACTGGCTTAATCTTGCAGAATGCTAGGATATCAATCAAGACAGGTGTTGTGCAATTGCTCACTCCTAAACTCTTAACAAGTCCTATTTCAACACAGTGTTCTAATTAAGCCCAAACCTTGTGCAAAGGAAACTTTCCAATGGGTTCTTCTAAGGACCAATCAAGGCTAGGGATCATCCAATGAATAAGATACAGATCAAGGTATTCAAGTTAAAGTGAAGCAAGTTGCTTTCTTAGAGCACCCTCGACATCTCCCTTATCTGAATCATGCCACAATTTTGATACAATAAAGAGATCTTCTCTCTTAATTCCTCTTTTGAAGCATTCTTGAAGAGCATCACCGATCTCTTTTTCATTCTCGTAAATTTTTGCAGTATCAATATGTCTGTAGCCATGATCCATAATTGCAGAGATGACAAGCTATGTAGTATCTCCCTCACTTGAAGCAAAAGTTCCAAGACCAATTTAAGGCATTTTAATACCGTTATTTAGAGTTACGTATGGTTGATCGGATCCGATTGTGGTTTCCATAGGGACAAAAGATATGATTATAAATTAAATAGTGATTTTGCTTTAAAACTCTTTGATTACCTTACTTTAATATTGTTAAGATGCTTTACTATATTTTTATATAACAGCGACTTGGGGTTTTGGGGTTTTGGGGTTTTGGGG